GAGTTGTAGTTTGTAGTTTAGCGAGCATTAACAAAATATTAGCTGATGATTGTAATTTAATCTTTATCTTTTCTTATTGTGAGAAGGTGGCAAACGAGCAGGCGGTTAACCTGATATTTAAAACGTCCTTAGGGTTACAGATACGTTGCCACATTTTAATAGTGTGCCCCGGTTACCTCACTCGCCAGACGCAACGCATAACTCTTCTGTGGTACTTCGTAAAAGTGTTGCCTTATTAGCTAGAGTTAGGACTTTTACAGCTAATGTGTTTATTTTGAATGTTTCATTTATCTCAAATTTCCCATTTGTAGTTTACCTGTAACAAATAATTTATTAATGCTCCAATTTTTGTGTAGAACTAAAACCAAGAATACAATGACAACGTGAGCCTACTCAATTAAGAAGCCACTTCAGGTTTTACATTGTACGAAAATAAAACCAAAACTAAAAGTATGTTTGAAGTGAAAATCGAAACTGGCAGTTATAACCGAAATATTGAAATTTTTGAAATAATTAAAAAGGCACAACAGTAAGGGAAACGCAAAATAGTAAGAAAATATTACCATCAGATGAACCTTCTGCTCGTTTGCCCCTTTTCTCCATAAAAGAAATGTTTGGGATGACTTGAATTTCATAGTGTTTTTCAATAAGATTACTAGTTTTTTTATTCACTTGGACTACGGAATAAGTTTTTAGGTTTCCGTACCAAAAGGATAAAACGGGGCCCCGTTTTATCCTTTTGGTACTAACTAGCACCGGGCTGTATCTCATGAACCATGATACTTAGATATTTGAAATTTTTACAGATGATGTATTTCCGTTGCCGCTATAACCACAAATACTTAAAAAAGGAATAAAAAATGTTTAAATAGGGCTCCCGTAGAACAGATATGATTTTTTGACATTTTTATAGATAATGGTACGGACCCTTCCTACGCGAGTCCGACTCGCACCTGGGCAGTTTTTTATTGTAATCGACAACAGGCAGACATCCAATATCGATTTTAGTCAGTGTTCTAGTGATTCCCGCGAACATTTCTTGAGATTAACAGATGTTTAACAGTCGTTAAGAATGTTAATCAAATTTGAATTTAATGCTTCAATTTATATTCAATCAAGATGTAAGGTATCTCAAGATGTCAAAACCACATAGTGAGTGTTATGGCTGACGCTAATTTCTCAATCGGCTAAGCTTTCCTGGAACAGTACTGGTACCAACGTTTTGTGCCTACCTAATGAATTTTGTAATCTTTACTAATATTACAAACGCGACAGTTTGTATGTATGGATGGATGTTTGTTACTCTTTCACGCAAAAACTACTGAATAGATTTTAATAAAACTTTACAATAATATAGCTAATACATCAGAATAACACATAGGCTATAATTTATAAAGATATTGTGTGTGTTGTCCAAAATATGGGTAATGATAAGTGTGAACTAAGTAGGAAAAAATTCAGCCATCTGCGATATATTCTGTTGTATAATAAAAACTCATTGTTAATTCCCTTAGACCACGCGGGCGGAGCCGCGGTTAACAGCTAGTGAAACATAAGGAGAAGATATACTTACTAAAACGCTGTAGTAGTGCCACGCAACGGCTTCTGCGGTTGCCTGAATGAGCAGGCTCGTCCGGGAAGTACCCGTACCAGCCTGCTGATTTAGGGGAATGTTATACAATACTTTATACGTTATACAATTCATCTGGTAAGGGGAGCCCACTGTATTTATGGTTGTCTGCATTTGCAAGCCTCCTGATGTGGTAGATGTCCATGGGTGGTTGTAATTTCTACTACGATTTCTCTAAGTGTCGAACAAAAAAAGAATTTTGCAAATCCGTCTATATATGACGGAGTTCAACCCGAACATACGTGAAAATAACATAAAAATCCGAATTGATAACTTACTCCTTTTTAAAGTGGGTTAAAAAGAAAAAACTTTATTTTTTAAATTAAAAACTAACCAGCACTTGACTGTCATCCCACCTGATGGTAAGTGGCGATGCAGCCGTTGATGGCAAGCGCGTAAAAACCTGAGTAAAAACCTTGATCACTACTTTCGATGAGGGTAAAATTTCAATTTTATAAATAAAACCAAAAAGTTATTCTTGATATATTTTATTAAAATTCTTTAGTCCGACTCTCGTTAATTACTCGAAAGAAGTCTTTGTACAGAGCCGAATGCAGTTTGATCTAAAATCACACATCAACTCGATTAAATCGACGTCGTCAAAAATTGCACCATGATTTTGAAACAAATTTAAATTATGCTTGATGATATAACGAACCGTATCTCATTCGGGTCTCTTAATCCTCGATTTTGCTCGTTTTGCATTAGCGAGTTTTTACATATTACAAAAATTAATAGATTTACGTCGGGTTTCTGAAACATCTTGTATTAACTGTTGTTTTTGCTTTCAGTCCCGAGACTGTTAAAGCTTCATCTGACGCAGAACCGGTGGGCTAGCCAGAACCCACGAGTTTGGGCCCGCCGTTGTGGGTAGGGCCACGCATGTGCTCATGCGTGCGTTTAACTATGGTGTGTCATAAATGGCTTTTCAAATGTCATTTGAGTTGTCAAAAGGATGGTTGACTATTTGAATTGATCATACTGAGCCATTTGACAGCTGATTAGTTAAATTCTACGATGATCAGTGTTTCAGAAACCTAGCGTTAGTTGTAGTAAGACAACATTTTTATATATGGAAAATAAGTTTTTCTGATCCTAATCAGGTCTTACCTGATGAAAATGTGGAGAGAAAGTTAGTATAACATCACTTGTTAAGAACAATGGATTATGGCCAGGTCGAAATCGATCGTGAGCATTCTTAATTAAATTTGATATTATTGTACACCTCAACTCAAACTCTTGGGGTTGATGAAAGATCGATTCGTAACAAAGTTGACAATCTGATCACAAAGTTAACCGTCACATTAATTATTACAGGATTAAGATTTACATAAGGAATCAAGTACGAACGCATAGCAATTAAGTTAATAATCCTCTCGTGTAATTTCTGAATCAGTCTGATACAATATCAACGGGTAACTAAATTCAGTAGCTAACGGTTTGAATAGTTATTATTTTACATATATTTAATTCTTGATTACTTTCATTCCAACCCGCTAAATTGATTACTAATATTATTTACATATGTACATAAACTATTGGTCCGTCTATGTTAACATAAAACCACACACTTTAGGTTACTTTCGATATCTTCGTATCGAGTTCTGATCAAGTTGGAATTAAATTCTAAAAATAAAGCAGTGTACCAGTTTCACGTCGTAAAATATTCGACAGGATTTTCTCATATACGAGTTAATCGCTTGCTTAGATACACTGGTATATTAATAATATGATTTCTGTTTTAATAACGAATCGTATCTCGATCTATTGAATTGAGTGATCCTCATCTGAAGGAATCGAGTTCAATTTAACTTATTTAATTGTTGTTTTATCAACTGGAAGGTAAACGATGATAATTCATATGAGTAATCGCTCAAGTTTGCTGCAGTAATACGAGACATCAAAGCATGTTTATAGAGATGTACACGTTTTTACAACAAAATCCCAGAATACGTTCAAATTTAATAAATTGTATTCAAAAAATTTGTAAAAGAACGTTTGTTTTAAAGGGTATGATAATGTTAGTTATTATTTAATGATACACTTTGAAAACGAATTGATCGCTCCAGTGTGTATCAAGTGGACTTTAGTATATTGTAAACATGTTGTCACTTTCAAAAAATAGTAAAAAGTAATAATTCCCGGTGAGTTACTTTCGCCAATTCTTCTCAGATTGGGTAATAGTAGAATTTTGAAAAAGTAAGTGTAAAGCATTACACTTACTTATTCAAAATTATGTATATTGAATAAAGATATTTGTAGTTGAATTTATAAAATATGTATACGAATCGATGTGGAAGAGTCTAAGTATTTAAGGGTTGAGGGAAATGCGAATAAGAGTGTAGACCTCGAGTTATTTTTATATATACCTTTTTAGTAAAATGTAAAATGTAAAATGCAGAACTGAACTACCATTAAAATTCAAACAAACGATAATAAAAATAAATGGGATATTTAAAAGTTATTGCTTAATACTAAACGCCTTTGGGGTAGACTGTTGGTGTGTCTTTTTTAACATATTAAAGTTACCAAAGATACTATGTTTAGGTCACGGTAATCTCGATAGAATACTGTCTCTTTTTCCCAGAAAATACATTTTCAATCTAACATTTTGCATATAAAATGAATATTTAATTCTTTCATCACATTACTATAGTGTGTAGAGACATTAGTTATTAGTTAGATGTTAATTATACCTTATCTATAATGCTGCTAAACTTCGCTAAACTCGAGTTTACAATTTACATGAGTAGGAGGGATATGCGGCTGAGCTGACAAATTAATTATGTACATAGATCATTTAACATATAACGTAAATTTTATTTACAGGTCATTTACACGACGGCGTTACACCACGTCCCACGTTCTAGAGAAAACACTCCAATTAGTGTCAAATCAAGATGTTAACACACCACACGATTTAACATCGTCCAATATTTTGGATCTAAGGACGTCGGCTAAAGTTAAACGTAGTCCTTCACGCCCTAAAAACACTGTTACCAAATTTCAACCTTTCAAATTCCAAGTAAATCTCAACACAACTCACGATTTCAAATCGTCCAATATTTTGGATCTAAGGACGTCGGCTAGTAGTTAAACATAGTCCCACTCCTTAGACCTAGAAACTATCACTAAATTTCAACATTCCAATTGCGAGAGCGTCGGCTAAAGCGTAGTCCTTCACGCCCTAAAGAGACTGTCACTAAATTTCAACCTTCCAAATGAGGGCGTCGGCTTAAGTCACACTTGGCACGTGTCACATGTAGTCCGTCACGCCGTCGAGAAGGTCCGGCTTGAGTCACACGATCTCGTCGCTATGCGCCACGTCGCTGCAACTGCCGGCGGGTCGCAGTCAGGCGCGCTGACGTCACACGCGCAGCTCCTCCATCGTCACGCTCGACTTGGCGTTCAGCTGCGTGTTCTTCTTGGTCAGCGTGTTGGTGTTGATCATCTGCATCTGGTGCGCGGACAGCGGCGGCCGGCTCTCCTGCAGCCCGCCCAGCGTGTTCAGCTTGCCCGGCTTGGGGGGCGGCGGGGCGCGGGGCAGGGTCGCCATCCCCGCCACGCTGTCGGCGAACTCGGGCGGCGGCAGCTGGTGCGAGTGGTGATGGTGGCCGAGGATCGTCGCCGGGTCGCCCTTCAAACTGGTCTGGTACGTGAGCGCGTTCTCCAGCTCGCCGCAAATGTTGTTCGGCATCTGGCCGTTCTCCGCGCGCTTCTTCAAATGCTCGTTCGTGTGCTCGTCCTGGCTCATGCGCGACTTGTCCCTCTGGTAGTAGACGCCGGCGAATATCAGCACGTTGAGTATGAGCAGCGAGCAGCCAATCGCTATGGTCACGCTCAGCGCCGTCGAGTACATCGCGAAGCCGTCTTCGGGTGGGGCCGATGTCGACGCGTCGGCCTTGCGGATGTCTGTGCTCGGCGCCGCGGGATTCGAACCGGCGACGTTAAGGTTCAAGGGGGAGGTGGCGTTGAGGACTGCCAACAGAGGCACCTTCGTCGCGACGCCGGTCGCCGTGAGCAGTAAATCGGTGACCTTCTTGAAGGGCGGCGTGAAAGTCTTTATGGTGGGCTGCAGAGGGGTGTCCTCGTGCTCGAGCTGGTGATGGGACGGAGGCACGTCCTCCCCACCCGGTCGGTGCAGATCCGGCACCAAGTTCAGCCAGAACGACAGCCTGCGAAATGTTGCATTAGTGACTTACGTCCCAATAACTTTTCTTTTTGCAAAAAAACTAATTTTGAAGTTTGAATGTGAGGCTAACGTCTCCGTTTTAATTACTATTTCCTGTAGTATTGATGATGATCATAACCATAATCATCATCATCACAGTGGTACTCTAAAACATTATGTAAATAGCAATGTGTATACCTGTGTGCCCTGTAATGATTTTTCAATTTCGACTTGATGTCAATATTCAAGTACTTCTTATGTACCGCCTCATACGCGGTCCACTCCATATTCTTCATTCGTACTCTTTCCTGTCTTCCTGCTCTGATCGGATCACTTTCTTGAGCCTCGTTCGGATTCCTACAAGTAATATATTTTATTGAAAACTCGTTTATAAAACTAAAACTCCTATCCAATTCTAGGTATTTTATGTAATTATTATTTCTCTTGATACGAAGACCAATAGATAAGATTTTTAATCGCGTAATTGGCGATAAAAAATATTCACCGACAATTGTACAAATGTACTTAACGTTCTGTCGAGAAAACAGTTGAAATTTTACAATTGTTTGGGGAACTAATGAATAAAAAATGTATTCTGTATTTTAACTTATTTCAATTTTGAAGTTCTCAATGCACTGATACGTTTTACGTAATTTAATTGAATAGGATAAAAATTAACATTTTAAATATACATATTTAGGCGTTACGTTTTTTTAGGAAAGGAAAGCAAACAAACAAACTAGAAATTTATCTTATTATGACGATCACACTGTAGTCTGGGATTCCGCTTCGTGCTCTCGTACGGAACGGACGTCTCTCTAAGACGGAGGCACATGCCACCCGAATTAGACGCCACTCGCAACCTCGGTTGCAATTTATATCTTGTGCAAATAGTGCAGTAGTTTAGTGTTAGTGTAGTGTTGTGCTCGTAGGCAGGTTCCTGTTTTGTAAGTAGAATCCTACAAACACTTCTCGCCTCAGAGGCGGCATTGTTTCATTTATTAACTGTGTGCTTGTTGCAATAGGCGACAGCTAGGTACCCACCCTAGCGCACCTTAAGCGCAGGCAAATTAGTTGTTATTTTTAGGCACACTCCTCCCTGCCGCTAAGTGGGGAGGCTTATTTAGCTCACACACGCCGGCGGGGCTACAAGCCCCAAAGGTACTTACGTCGCGATGGGCTCCCTTTTCGAGGAGTTCGTTCGCAGAGAATGCCCCGCTATGTGGGATTACGGTTATCTTGCCTATGCAGCCGAGCATAGGCAAGTAGCTGAACTCGCATCGCCGCCATTGCCCGCGCCGTCTGCGCCCGTTACCCCGTCGCCCTCCGCGACCTTAGAAGCCCCCGTCGCTTCGGCATCCGCTAACGCGAACTCGCCCGTAGCGCCTTCCGTGCAACCAAACCCGACCTCTTTCCGCTCCGTCGTACCCGACTCACAATCGGACGGCGGATCGGACATGGAGGTCGAAACGACCCCCGCTTAAAATGCGAACGCCGACGGCTTCACCGTCGTTAAATCGCGTAAAAAGGGCAAGAAACGCCCCGCTACCGACAGCGACCCCGAATGTGAGGCCGCCTCAACGATCCGTCCCACCGCGACGCCTGCCAAAAAGGCAGCCGCGACTGCCCAATCGGAACCGACATTCGCCTCAGAGCGAAAAATCAAGCCACCGCCGCCAATTATCATACAAGAAAAGGCAAAGTGGCACCAAATATGTTCATGGTTCCAACGCCATAACATACGAGACCCCCGGTCCAAAAATACGCATATGGGTATCCGCGTATACCTCGATTCTACGGACGATTTCCGCCGCGTAACAAAGTACTTGCGCGAAGCTAAGGTAGGTTTCCGCACCTACTCACTACCCGAAGAGCGTAAACTTCGGGTCGTAATCAAGGGCGTCCCGAAAGAGTCGGATGTCGATAGGGCTAAGGTCGACATCCGCACTCAGGGATACCCTGTTCACGCCGTGCGTCGCCTCAGGCACCCTCGCACCCGTGTCCCTATGGACATGGTCATGGTGGAACTTGACCCTACCCCGGAAGGTAAAGCCATTTTCAACCTAAAGAGGGTCTGTGGGCTCAGTGACTTAGTCATCGAGCCCCCGCGAAAATCAGGTGTTGTGGCACAGTGCCACAACTGTCAACATTTTGGCCACACGGCCAATAATTGCTTCGCTCACCCTAGGTGCGTCAAATGCACCGGTGACCACGGCACAACTGAGTACACGAGGCCAAAAGATTGCGCAGATCCACCGGACTGCGTAAACTGTCACGCTACCGGCCACCCGGCTAGTTATAGAGGCTGCGCTAAGGCCCCGAAAAACTCCCGCGAGAAAATCTCCCGCGAAATCTACGTTGCCCAAACCCGCGCCCGTAAAAAACGTTCCCGCGCCCGTACCCCTCACAAACGCCTGGGCGAAACCCCAGGTGGCCGCGCAGGTAATCACGCCCCCGGTCGCTTCACGACCGATTGCACAATCGCTGCCCGCCTGTCAAACGGCGCCGCGGCCGCAGGTGCAGCCAACTTCATCGGTTTTCGCCGAAAACAAGGACGACCCGTTCGCGCAAATCGCCAACATCTGCAGCCTATTAGACCGATCAATAGGCAGGAACTCGCCGTATTGTCCGCTAAAAAATAGCGGCCGCCACATCTGGCAACGAGCGCCTTAGAGCAATCAGCCAACACAAAACGCTTGTAGAAGCCCTATGGGCTTTTACGAGCCAACCATAAAAAGACATAATAGTCCGCGCAATAAAACCGCGCTCCGCCGCGTCGTTAATTAGAACCATAAAAACTTTAATGGGAAGTACAACCGCAGGTAGAACAAAACCTCGGGCTCTGGTTGTTTCGTATTTCAACGCAAACGGCATAAAGGGTCAAAGGGACGAAATCGCAGAATTCCTTCGCGATTATAACGTAGATATTTTTCTAGTGCAAGAGACATTCTTAAAACCTAGTGTACGCGATCCCAGAATCGCAAATTACAACATTGTCCACCATGACCGGTTAGCAAACCGTCTGGGAGGCACATTTATTTACTATAAACGGTCCTTGAACTGTTGCTCGCTCGACATTCCAGAGCTAAGTCAAATAGAGGCATCCGCGTGTAGGTTAGCGCTCACCGGCCACAGGCCGCTTGTACTAGTCTCAGCCTACCTCTCGGGGAACAAAACCTTATTACAAAACGACCTAGTTACGCTACTCAACTTAGGCCCTTCCGTGATAATTGCAGGAGATCTAAACTGCAAACACGGTTCATGGGACATCCACAGCATCCCAAATAACAACGGAAAGCATCTCTTTAGCTTATCCGATAATTTAAACTTTAGCATAGTCGCTCCCGCGACTCCCACTAGGTATCCTACGGTGGACAACTACCAACACGACCTTAGACCCCCAGGACTTAGTAGACTTACCCGAGACGATAGCTACGTTCGATGACGCAAATCGAGCAATAGCGAGTCTCCGAGAAACTGTTACTTCCGCAGTCACAGATCACTTCGGAACGGACGGTGAAACTGTCGGGCGACTGACGGTTTAACTTTCCGCCCGACCTAAGACTGCTAATTAGACAGAAAAATGCAGCCAAACGCGCCTTCGACCGATACCGATCGGAATCGAACCAAACCCTACTTCGACGCCTTCAGCTAGAAGTCAAAGATCGTGTATTGGAACACCGACATACAACGTGGGACACTCTCCTAGAGGACATCGAGCCATCGCACACCGCCTACTGGCGGTTGGCCCGCAGTCTGAAAGCAGACCCCCGCGAATCTCTACCGCCGTTAATTAGACCTAATAGCGCTTCAGTAGCCCTAGATGACTCCGAAAAAGCCGAATGCCTTGCGGACAACCTAGAGCAGCAATGTACGCCATCGCGCGAACACATCGATACAGTCCACCTAACGGAGGTGGACCTCGACTTCGAGACTAGGGCTGCGCTTCCACCGGAAGGAGATCCTTTAAGTTCAGTGACCCCCGAAGAGGTCCAAGATATTATTAAAAATTTAAAACCGAAATCCGCCCCGGGCCCAGATAATATCAGTAACAAAATTCTAAAAGCTCTCCCTGGGCCGCTTATCTGTTTACTGGCGACCATTTTCAACACTCTACTCTCCAGTTGCTCCTTCCCGGACGACTGGAATCAAGCCACGGTTATCGGCATTCGCAAGCCGAATAAACCAGCCAACCAGCCCTCTAGTTATCGTCCCATCAGCCTCCTCAGTTGCCTGGGGAAGCTCTACGAGCAGCTCTTATTAAACAGGCTCAAACAGCACGTATTTTCCAACGGCCTTCTGCCCACGGAACAATTCGGCTTTCGAGCTAGACACTCTTGTCCCGACCAGTTATACCGCCTAACGGAGCACATCCTAAAAGGCCTAAACCACCCGAAACATATCAGTACAGGGGCTCTTTTCTTCGATGTCGCAAAGGCATTCGACAAGGTCTGGCACAACGGCTTGCTTTACAAGCTGTACACACTCAAAGTGCCAGATAGGCTCGTACACACCATCCAGGCCTTCCTGTCGAACCGCTCTTTTCGATATCGAGTTGAAAGTACCCTCTCCACAAGCCGCCGCCTCACGGACGGCGTACCACAAGGCTCCTGCCTCTCACCTTTGCTCTTTACGCTCTACACGAGCGACATACCCAAAGACCCCCACGTCAATCTCGCGCTTTTCGCGGATGACACCGCGCTCTTTTATTCAGACCGCAACCTTAGAATATTAACCACTCGACTCCAAAGCGCTGCCGACCGCCTCGGCAATTGGTTCCGCAAATGGAGAATAGAAACAAATCCCGAAAAGAGTGTGGCGATTCACTTCACACGAAGTACTTACCCGTCACATCTTTATAATGGCCTTCGCCAATGCAGAAAGTTGGGGCAAATATCCCTTTATGGCCAACCGCTCCCCTGGGAGAAAAAGGTCAAATACTTAGGAGTCACTTTCGACTCGCGCGTATGTCATTTACTACGCACATTAATAACGTTCGTAATAGAGCCGCGTTCGTCTCCGGCCGGCTACACAATTTAACTAACGCTAAAAGTAAAATGCCCTTTAAGGCACAAATTATTATTATATAAGACCTGCGTACGACCCCTATTATGTCCTACGCATGCATGATCTTCGCCCACACGCACCCTACTCGCTTGTACAAGCTGCAAATAGTACAAAATAAGTTCATCCGCCGTGCAACCGGTGCGCAGTGGTATCAACGCAACGTCGATCTGCACAGCGATTGCAGACTCCCGACGATTCGCGAATTTTAAAGACCTGACCAAACGGTTCTTCGATAGAGCCGAACATCATCCCAACCCTCTGGTAGTAAGCGCAGCAAATTACCAACCCGACACAAACGCGAACGTCAACAAGCGTCGCCCGCGAAACGTCCTCATCGACCCAGTCGAGGAAGGGGACTTAGATACGCCGGACCCACCGCCGGAGGTCCCGCCGGATAACATTACACCCACAGCTAGTGTAACAACAAACACAATAGTTCGCCCTCGCCTCCGAGCACGGCGAGACCAACACAACGCGTACACAAGGTACACCCGCATTCCAGGGCGGTTCTCACCGCCCCCAGCCACCGATTAGCTAAAAACACAGTCGACGGCCATCGGGGTCTCGGTCCGCACCGCAACTTCGATGGCCCTTAGATGACAGTCGTAGTTAAACGCACGCATGAGCACATAGCCCTACCCACAGCGGAGGGCCCAAACCCGTGGGTTCTGGCTAGCCCACCGGTTCTGCGTCAGATGAAGCTTTAATAGTCTCGGGACTGAGAGCAAAAACATCAGTTAATACAAGATACAAGAGACTGTAGTCTGGCCAAGAGTCAACTATGGAGGCACCACTAACTACCATCACGAAGCGCTCATCATCCTCCTGCCCTTATCCCACCTAGGTGGGGTTGGCGAACAAACACGCAGTTATCTGTAGATCACACAAAGAATTACTCGTGGGAATCGAACCCACGAACCCCGACGTCGAAGCCAATATCTTAACAATGACGTCGCCGTGTCATGATGCGCTCATCAACTTATAATACTTTATGTACAATAGATTAATATATATTTATATTTTATTTATTACTTTCTATTATCACTTCAGTTGTACACCTATACCCGGTACTACTGTTTTTATTATCTCCTTTTTGTAGGTTGCCTGGAAGAAATCCCTTTTGTGATAAGGCCGCCTATTGTAGAGTTTTGTATTATTTGTTGTTGTATATTCAATATCAGTTTTAGTATACAATAAAGTATATGTCATTCGTTCATTTATTATTTCATTCATTCATTTATTCGTTCATTCATAATACCAAGAATACCCCACAGGACCCGTACACTCACCCGGTTTTAGCGAAGTTCCCCCAGTACAGCATCACGGACTCTGACAGCGCCACCTCGGCTTTCGTATAATTCCGCGGGAAGTGAGCGAGGCCGCCCACCAGAGGTGCGCCGAAGATATATGGCAACTCCTCGCCATGTATGCAGCCTTGGCGCTGTTAACAATCAACAGACCGTCTAATCGCATTCCCTATTTATATTTGAACATCGCTCTGCCCGTATCCACCTGCTTGCTTGCCAACTTTTTTTTTTATGTGGCAAACGAGCTGGTGGTTCACCCGATGTTAAGTGAAAACCACCGCCCACGGACCATTGCAATGCCCGTAGGGTTTCAGGTGGCATCTTTTGATAAAGTGGGCCCCAGCTATCCTACTCACCAGACGAAATGCATAAGTGTAACACTTTGACTTCACGCCGGTCTTTTGTGAGGTCGTGGTACTGACCCGGACGGACCTGCCCATTCGTGCAACAGCGAACATCGTTGTATGGTCCTAACTTCTACTGCCTTCTACATAAACAAGTATGTGTGTAATTATGTAGACACTTAAGAAGTTATTGTTGGTATATATGTACATTTATATTGGCAACACTTTTGCTCACATAACAATATGGCAAATTACTAGTATTACTTTCCTGTTGTAACTTGTAACTTGTAATCATGTTTTCTTATCTCAATAAAACTAAAACAAAATGGTGTTCCTAATTTAATTATTTAACAGTTATACTTCTTTAGCGGGATAAAATTGCTTTTTGAGGGTCGGTGTGCGCGATGATCGTAAAAATTTGTATAATATTCTTCTTTTAATTTATCCTCTCATATTTTTTCCATACGCCCCAAAAGAAGAATAACTTCAAAAAATGGTACTATCTCGAAATTTTTTCAAATGTTCTCCGCTCGACCGTAAAGGTGAAACTGGAGTTCATAAACGGGCGTTAGTAATTTAAGCCCAGTTGGTATTTGACCGAGTCATTGGCTTACTATCTCGTTAGTGGGGCATCCGTCCCGGCAAACGAGGCAACTTGAGAGCCTGCAGTCTGTGTTAATAGCTTTTCACTGGCCATTTTAGAGAGACCTCAAACGAGACGTCAGTAGTTCGGTCTCACGGTCACTACACCGTTGGTCCGAGTTTAATAACTTCACTCATAATGACGTGTGAAGGTGTTTAAAGACTTTAATGAGTTTCTGAGGGAAATGAGTTTTGAACGGCCTTTAATTGGAAGCGACTTAAATGGGACATAAATTGCAAATACATTATAAATGGCAAATGCAATATACAAAGGTAAATATGGGATTATAACTTTAAAAATAAATGTTTGCTTTTTCATATATCTTTGTTCCAATGGTTTACTTATACATTTCAAACGGAACTGATCTTTATAAGTAGAATTAACTGTATTCATAATACATTAGGAACCTTAAGATCCACATCGAATTGCGGTGAGTTGCAAATTAAACCAAAAAGCAGTTATAAATAAGGATGAGAGACAAAGTTAAAGAAGAAATAATTATTTTAATAAATTATATAAAAAGCGACAGAAGTTTGCATACATTAATGACTTTAACACAGAAAATAGACATGCCATAACCATGACCTGATTGATATTTATCAAAGATGACATAATAGTTAAAAAAAAAACGCTTTTGTAGATAGCCGAACTAAAAAGTAGACAACACAAAACAAACACAACAACTGCTAAATTCTTACAAGCGGGAACTTTGTTTAAAAGGGTAATGATTTATTTACGGCCGGTTTCAATATTCTATTTATCTGCAAAATGGTTACTGGTGATATAATTTTGACCCTCGCTACTTCTTGCTGCAAAAAAGACAGTGAAATTCTTCGTGCTGCTTCATTTATACCACTCAGAATGACACTTCCTTTAGTGTTGCTAACAATCGCTAGTAACCAAATCAAGATAGATAGAACATTTACAGGCCGCTAATCTGTAAGCTGCTCACCTGCGGGTAGTCGCCGTACTTCGTCTGATAGTCGAACACGTAAAGATAGGAGTTGCGTCTGAGGGCGGAATGCGTGTCCGCTGTCAGCACTATGGGCGCGACCACCTGGGCATCGCTGAGCGCTTCCAGCGTCTCGTCTCTGTTATAAACAAGTCAATTTTAACCGACTTCGAAAAAGGAGGATGTTCTCCACTCGACTGTATTATTTTTACCCCACTGCGCCAGAAGAAGGGTTATGTTTTAAGAGTGTATGTATAATTGTTCGGCACGCTCTGCAGGCTGAACGGATTGATGGATTTTAGCTTGAGCTGTGTCGTTAGATTCGTATTTACTGTGAGAGTGACACTGGTTATATCAAAATCACTGGGTATTCCAAATTACAAAGAAACGCAATCGGGTTTTTTTAGTTTTTTAAACTTTTTTTTTATATTTGTTCCCTCAGAACTTTCGACTCGATTTTGATGATTATTTTTTTATTTGAAAGCTGGTGCTTACAGCCGATTTGAGAACCTCCATTGATGACTCCGTGGCGCAGTCGCCGCGGAGTCATCAATGGAGGTTCCCACACGGGACAACTATTTGTGTGACCCACAGATAGTTGTTTCGCATCTGGGTGTTTGTCCGTGTAAAATTTATGTTTGTAAAACGTCCTTACATCACAGGATAATGTTATCCTAAAGTAAGGGCATTGTTTAAAAAAAAAAAAAAAAAAACAAATATATGTAATAACTTTAAACGAGCAATTCTTGTATGTATATATCTACATAATAGGAATCTAGGAAACGGCTCCAGCGATTTTCATGAAATTTAGTATGTGCGTAGATTTTGGGGCGAAAAATCTAGCTAGGTTTCATTTTTAGAAAATTTCCTTTTATTTTCAGGGAATAGAAAATATTATTCGAATATGACGGTAAATTTCGCTTAGCTCGGTCGGTAGTCGGGTGGCTCCGAAACAGAAGGCTGCGGTTCGTGTCACGATCATTTACACACTTATTTTTTTACTTTTTTTCTATACCAGATCATTGCTTTCTTTATTTTTTTATTTTTTATTTCCAAAATACACGATTTACCAAAAAAAACTGAGCAAAGCTCAGTCCTCCAGGTATTATTACTCATATCTATATAACCAGAAACTAGAAAAACACTTCATTCACACACACAAGACTTTAAAGTAGTGTGGTTTGAACCCACACCTTGTGGTACAAGAGACAGATTCACTGCCCACTGCGCCTATTGGGACGGTAACAGAAATCAGGCAGATGAGTTAGGTCTTAGATATTAGCAAAAAATAATACACTGAGGACAGATCACACAGTCTACGGCTTTTACTTATCGGGATTTAACGAACTCGCTGTTACACACCTGATATTTATTGGGTGTTGGACCGGCTTCTCCCAGTCTGTGTACTCATTGATGATCGTCGCTAAGATCTCCGATAGGTGATAGCTGTACGTGTTCCTTACGAAGGACTTCAGGATCTTAGAGCGTCTGTCTGCCTCGATGCCGTACTGAACGTCGTCGCCGCTAAATGCGAAGTATGCCTCCGCTTTTGTCACTCCCAGCATTAGGTCGTACCTAAGTGAAATTCAAAGAACTAAAAATATTTTTATATTCCTAAAGAGCAGTGACTACTAAAGTAAATACGTCATGGGGCAAAGTGTGCGCATGTATAATAAAATACCACAATTTCAATTTTAATTTATCATTAAATAAAAGCAATCAATACTAATATTATAAATGCCAAAGTAACTGTCTGTCTCGCTTTCACTTAAAACCGATTTAAATGAAATTTGGTACACAGATAGTGTAGAGCCTGACGAAGGACATAGGCTATTTTTTAATAGGAAAGAAGTGTTGTAAAGGGTTGAAAGATATTTATTTAAGGGCTTAAACGCGAGCGCAGTCGCGGGCCCAAAGCTATTTTCAATATAAATAGATAACGATGTAGCCAAATTAATGCCAAATTTGTGGTAACACTTTATAATATACGTTTCTTACACTTCACAATACATGTTTATGTCAGCAAGCTCGAAAGACGCTCTTTCTGGGACAGTGAGAGCTATCAAATATAATTTTGGAATTCAAAAATACACAAATAACACATAACACTTGATGCCTACAATTTTCCTTCTGTATAATCTTATTATTATATAAAATACGGAAAGTTTCTTGAAAGTTATGACATAATCAAGTAACAAATTAATGGATAACGTTGCAAAGTAAACTAGAAGAATTATTGCACTCACTTAGTCAATTGGGCGACGGCACTCTTCCTCATCAACACCGCATTGATAATGTTGACCGCTGTATGCGGTTGAACACCAGTTCCTCGCGCAATCGCCTGCCCACCCCATTCGTAACCGTTCTCGGGGCCCATTAAGAGATCACCAGTATCTAAATCAATGGGTCACGATGAAAGAGAACCAAATCGTCTTTATTATGTTTACAGATTTTTAATTAAATTTGCCCTTACTGTGGGATAACAATAATGTTATAAACATATAAACTGTGTTGTAAAGAAGAACTACAAACATTATTTCAGGTGGACAGACACCCAGATAAGAAATAATTATCAGTAGGTCAAACAGATTAAGTTTATTCAGAAAAGTGCTCGATTTCATCATCATCATGTTTTCCTCAATCTGTTGCAGCACTAAGACGACGCCTCCTTTTTCATTGAGCGCCGCCGTTAATTCTTGGCCGTTACCGTACGACTTCCTGAAGAAGAGGTCAGGTGCTGTTTCATGAATTAATTGTCAGGCGTTCTTAAGGAGTGGCCAATCCGAAGCCAGTTTCTTTCCAGGATGCTCTAGAGTAACACGATTGAATTCCTCCATCTCATTCACTCATCTTACAACTAGACGCGTGTCGGGTCTCGAAATATTTGCTTCGATATTCATTAGGCATACCGCAAGGGTAACGAATCTGCCGGGATCTGTCATCCTAACTTTCCCGGGGTCGGATGGCAGTCAAGCGTTAGACAATTCTTGGAAAGAAAATACTTACCAATAACGACGCCGTCTACGCTTGGGCCAAAGGCATAAGAGAAGTCGGGGGCTGGAACAGGAGCAGAAAGAAGCACCTCCAGAGGCCTCTCTCGTAAGCACCTCAGAAGAGCCGGCGGCGTCAATTCTAAGATATATAAATAAGAGTTTATTTTATTTCTAACTAACTTTATTGCGGCGGTTTAATTTAATTTTATGAAAATTGTACTTTATGCTAATATATTAAAATTAAATTTATAACCTATATTCAATTCAATTAAGTTTTATTCCATTCTGCCCCACACCATACGAGGTATAGGCAATGCTAATCGTAAGTTTGTGTGCATTACATTATTAAAGTTTGTTGAAATAAGGTACGAAGAGTTTTTCGCCGCTGTGGGAATCTAATCCACGTCTTCGGGATTCGCGCCCCGATGCTTTAGCCATGGAAACTGTGAGTATACACAACAAACCGTATGGTTTCCCTTAATTAATTTTTAAGATATTTAGCGAACAAAAAATAATAATTACAGTCTTGCACCATACCTGGAGAACAGTTCGCGTTGGTCGCGACTATCGACGCGTATTTGTTCGGGTCTGCGACCAAAGACCATGGGCTGAGACCGGAGCCAGACATCAGAATCGCCCTGTGGAACAGCAAACCTGCAAACGGCACTAAATTGAACGACTAATAAATAAAATAATAAATATCTCCTCTGAAACGACTTGACTGGTTTATATGGAATTTTCTATGAATATTCAATAGGTATTAGAATAGATTTATAACTGATTTTTACACCTCTATGTATTAAAGGTCACCCTAATTTTTTTTTTTGGAAAATTTATAATAATAGCTAATCTAATATATAAATTAATATATAATTAAGCCAATTTAATATATGAGTTAATATATAATTAATTATAGCTAGTCTAATATAAAATTCTTGTGTCACAGTTTTAGTGTTTATACTCCTCCGAAACGGCTCGACCGATTTTGATGAAATTTTATACGTATATTCTGTAGGTATAGGAATAGATTTCTATAAATTTTTTTCTACCCTACAAATAATTTATATGGCAAAACGACTTTTGCCGGGTCAGCTAGTAATATAATAAATAAACAATATATTATTTCGTACAAGTTTTGGACACATTTTACACAATGTTATCTAGTCCTAAACTAAGCAACGCTTGCACTATGGGTCCTAGAAAACTGATGAACATACTTTAACATACTTTTCTTTTGTAAATAAATACATGTTATACATATATAATCTCAGACATAGGAAAAACACTAGGTTCATCACACAATATCTTTCTAGTAGTGGAGATCGAACCCACACCCTCTGGCGCAAGAGGCAGGGTCACTACTCCCACGCCAATCGTCGCAAAAACATTTACGCCCGGTTTCTGAAACACTAATCATCGTAGATGTCAACTAATCAGCTGTCAAATGAATTTCAAATTTCATTTTAGTTGCCAAAAGGATGTTTAAACTCTTTGAATTGATCATTCTGATCATAAAGAAGATCATTCTGGTCAATTCAGAGAATTTAACCATCCTTTTGGTACCTAAATTGTAATTTGAAATCCATTTGACAGCTGATTAGTTGACATCTACGATGATCAGTGTTTCAGAAACCGGGTGTTAATAAAACCTTTAAAATATTGTTTTTGTCTGATTAAGACCAGCCAGTTTGGCCTAAATCTAAAAATTTGACACTGACTTTAGTACTGTAGTACTTCATGCAAAAAGTTCTAGCAATTAAAAAGATACACAAAATTATAAATTAACCCTAAAACGCATTAATTCTCTTTTATTCTCTTTTATTATATTCTCATTAATACACTTTGAGCGATTGTTTTAATTATGTTTGTAAATGTCGTCGATTTATTAAAAGCAATCGGTAATGACAGAATTAAGTAAGATGTGAAATTATGTTAACAATAGAAGTTTTCTTGTCACACTGAGCAAATTTTAGATTTGATTCAAGATATATTCAGTTCACATCATTGTGTAAAATTACTTTTGCTACTATAGAACATATTACATAAGTTGTCACTAAATAGTATTACTAAAGTCGAAATAAAAATCATACAATGCATATACTGGTTCATTTTAATCAACAAAGCATATTTCATCAGTTTCACAATGAACGAGTAAGTTCTTAATATTCCCAGGAAATGTAGAATATTACGTAGAGAAATAACCTGGGGAATGTACTGCCCCAGCAGCTGAATAAATAATGTCACTTGGCGATGCCAGGTCACGGTGAGCTTTTGTGTTACGCGTTATAGTGTATTTTTTTCTACGGGGAATTTAAATATTATGAAGCAGTAAATTCATGCGAGAAATTTCACAGATTCCCCTAATTTCAACTTTGCATAAATCAAAGACAGTCCCCTGTACATGTAAGAATTATTAGTGCCTTATCCTAGTATTCGGATATAAAAAGAATCAATTCATTTTACATGATCTGGGTTTTAATTTACGGCGCCCTTTATACAGAACTTGGAACGTCTATTATCAATGCAATAAAGGATATTCAAAAGTTTTAGTTGCTAATTATCAACAGAAATTTAACAAAACTAATACATTACCTGTTACGTTATTATACTTTCGAACAATATTATTCTAGGATACAGTTCATGGCATTTCAAATTTTCGTTTTTGTTGTATTAGCGCAACTTACTGTGTTACTGTACTGTGTACTTATAAATATATTGGTGTATTAATATTCATCTGCTTAAACAATTGCCGTACTAAGCAAGCATTTGCGTCAGGGAATATAACTTAATATTTACTAACATCCTTGTGTTGTACAAGCCAATGCTAGGGATCTTGTTTGCATAGGACCGTTAGTTTGTATATTCGACAGATAGAAGGATAGTTCGCAACAATATACCCAAATAAAGGCAACGTAAGCTTGGTCTCTGTTTAGTCAAAGTTGAGTCAGCGTATCGCCTACCGCCTTATGTATAAATTGGCTATAAATTTATCCTGATTTTATTTGAATAGCTAACCCCAGCTACGCTTAGCTGTGGCTTTTTGAACTAATACTTTTAGCGTTTGGAATAATTATGAGAGGAAAATTTTTAAGATACGCGCGCACACTGACCCTCAAAAAGCGACATGATGCTTGGTAACCAATTTAATCTTGGCAACCAATAAAAACTTCTAAGTATAACTCCTTACGCCCACATAAGGAGTTCACATAAGTACACAATTTTTTTTTCTGTCTTTTCTGTGGAAACTTCAATATAAAAAGTATGTATACTCTCCCGCAAATTAGCAATATTGTGAGCAAACATCAAGTTAATCCATCAACTAGTTTTTGAGTTTTGTGTACGCAATCATACTTTTAAATTTATCAAGATAATATCTTTACATACATACTTATATACTGTTAAATTTATATACATTTAATTATATACTTTTAAATTTATAAAGATAATATCTTTATAAAATTTTTAGTAACATGTTACAAAAGAAATTGGTTCGCGATCCGTAAACCCGTTTCTCTATTGTATGGAATTTTTGAAGCATAAAAAAATTGATGAATATTAAACAGATCCTTGCCGTTTCTTCTCTAGATTGTGATGCTCATAAATGCTTCAATGAAACTTTATTCGATTTCGGTTGAAGAAATTTTACTCGCAAAAGTAAATAAGAATATAAATACAACTATTTACACCTGGGCATGAAATCAAACTTTTTTTTTTGTGTGAGACGGTGGCAAGCGAGTATTCGTTGCAACACCCGTATGGTTGCAGATGCGTTGCCACTTTTTAATTTGGGTTTCGACTACCCCACTCACGGGACGAAACGCTGAAGCATAATACTTCAATGTCTCGCTGGTCTTCTGTTAGGTCTTGTTACTTCCCCGGACGGGCCTGCTCATTCATGCTTTAGTGTAGACTATTACGTGGCCCTACCACAGTTGAACTTTGTCTGTTGGCAAAATCATTCACGACTAAAACTGGACAGAACGGAGATATTCCAACTAGCCATCATTGAGCACTCACCTTCGGGGACGGCTAGTGACGTCAGCAAGAAGTGTACGCACGCGGCACCCGTCCCGTGGCCCATAAGGGTAACGTTGGTCGGGTCGCCCCCGAACACCGCAACGTTCTCTTTGATCCAATGGAGGGCAGCTATCTGATCCATGAGCCCGTAGTTTGCGGGCGACCTCGGAAAGTCGTCAGAACGCGGGTTGAGAAAGCCTGTAGAAGAAGGGTGCAATTAAACTTTCGTCTTCATCTTCACCAGACATTCTACAGCCACGCAACAGTCTTCGCTGCCGGCGTCCAGTAGAAGTGTTATACTTCTGCGTTTCATATTAAATGAAAATAGTTTACGGATTTCATCGCGTTTTAATTTTGATTTTTAATTCCCGACGTTCGGGACCCTTTTCAGCGTTCGTGTTCACGGGACAGACTGAAATGTAACACGTCTTGATATCAAAGCTAACCCGGGCTACCGTCAATTGTTTTGTTATTTTTATTCCAATCTACACGTAAGCTTATGGTATCTTGGTGAGCTTAGATTTAATTTTATTAATTATGGAATGCCAGAAGATAAACCCCAACCATCTCCTCTATTGAAATTAGGATGTTTCTTTATTTCAATAGCCTTGCGGATCATCCTTGAAAGGAATCGGTGGTTTTGCGAGGATTTTTGTTTGAACAATTCTTATGTGTGGTTGGGGTGGTCCAAAACACTTGGGCTAGTCAAAATATAACAGGATGTGTATTATATTTGATGATTTTATTTTTCTACATATATATTAATATAATAATTTTTGCACCATTATCCGCAACTTTATTATCTAATCCTATACCCTAATATTGTCTGGAAGAAATTGCTACCCTAGCAATAAGGCCGCCTGTATGTACACTATCTTTCCGGTATCTTCTTCCTTGTATTTCCTTGTGTGCAATAAAGTATACTCAATCAAAGGATTTACTCATTGATAAATGTACACATTCTTCCTCTGTCGGCAACGCACAACTTTCCAAATTGTTCTCCATCTCTCCTTGATCTTATTCTAGTTTCCTCAGTAGACTTTCTATTGAAACATGGTCAATGTCCTGCAGATGCCTTTTCTTACCAAGATTTGCTATATTTATCCTATAAAATACGCCCACCCAAAGCTAGAATTCTTCTCCAACGTAATTTTGGTGGTATTAACCTTGATCTTCTGCGAGAGGATGCATCCCAGATTGACTGGGCTGAAGTCCTTACTGGGAACAATACTGATGACCGGGTTGAAATTTTTAACTCTCTTTTAATGAAGCTTTATGATACCCAAGCTCCAATACGCCCAGTAAGAATTATGCATCTTCCTGCTCCTTTGCTAACTGAGGATATAAAAACCCTACAACACAAAAAGATTATAGCCAAAGCTAAATATAAAACCAATGCCAGTGAAACCAATCGCATCAAATTCACAAGCATTCGGAATCGATGCAACAGATTGTGTAGAGATGAACAACGACGACATATCCATAAATCTGTTCTCGAGGAAGAAGACTCCGAAAGAGTATGGAAATTTCTAAAATCTCTTGGGGTTGCCTTCAAATTACAGTACCTTCGATTTAAATAAGCTCGATCAGAGTTTTTCCTCATTTTGTACTATTGATAGTACGTTAAAACAAAATATTAAAAATAAAATTTTAGCTTTACCCACCCCTGATGATCCTGCTGTCGTATTTAGTCAAATCGACTGCAGTGATGTTAAGAGAAGTATTATGGAAGCTAACTCTGATGCTGTTGGTTCTGACTGCATAAGTCGTAAAATGATCACTCCTCTTCTCGATTTTCTAGCTCCTGTCATTGTGTCGTTGACTGGTTTCACAGTTACTTGCACAGGCGCCGGCAACGGATTAAGATCGAGGAAAAGTATTCGATCTGGAGTTTGATAAATGCCGGGGTACCACAAGGTGGCGTGTTGTCTCCTCTCCTATTATCAATCTTCATTAGTTCAATCACTCAACATTTAACTTCTCTCTACCATCTGTATGCTGATGATCTCCAAGTTTACGCTCAATCCAAATTACCAGATTTAACCATAACAATAGATGGCAGTTAATAAAGATCTAAATAAATGGAGCAATTCTTATGGACTGAAGGTAAATCCATCCAAAACACAAGCTATTATTATAGGCAGCCAAAGATTGGTTTCACGAATTGACTGGGCTACTCTTCCTTGTATAGTTTTTGATAGGTTCCAATATAGCGATACGGTTAAAAATCTAGGTGTTGTGTTTGATAAATTTCTCTCTTGGGTTCCCCAGGTTAGTGAAGTGAGTAGGAGGACGTTTGCAGCAGTTAATTCTCTTCGTAGATTGAGTTACTTCTTACCCATACCTACCAAAATTGCGCTCGCGGAATATCTCCTCTTACCAATTCTAGATTATGCGGATACATGTTACTTAGACTTAAGCGTTGAACAACTTAATAAAATTGAGCGCATCCAAAATCTTTGCATACGGTTCATATTTGGACTTCGTAAATATGACCACATTTCTGAATTCCGAAATAAGCTCAAGTGGCTTCGAATACGCCTTCGCAGGAATACTCACCTTCTATCACTCTTATATTCTGTTCTATTCAATCCAATCACAATCGATCTCTCCGCTCCGATGACAATTAAATCCTCAGAAATCCTCCCCATAGTACATCTTTCTACTCCAAATCCTTTTCTGTGGAAGCTGTGTGAACTCTCTCCCACTACATATTAGGCGGGCACAATCCCTACCTATTTCCAAGCGACTTTTAAGAAAACACTTTATGCCTTCTTAATCATTGTGTTCCATTCCTCGATGTTGTCAACTTATATCTAAGTACTTATACATTATTTATAACGTATATATTTATATATCGTGTTTGCATGTGTATTTATGTATAATTTGTTAATATGTTTTATATTTTGACTTATAAGTTTCTCTTATCAATTCAGTGTTCACCGTTTCCCGATGCTACTGTTTTTACTATATCGTTTTACTAGATTACCTGAAAGAAATCGCTTTTTAACTATAAGGCCGCCTATTGTACAGTTTTGTATTATTTTTGTTGATTCTTCAATATCCGTTGTTTGTGTACAATAAAGTATATTTCATTCATTCATTCATTCATTCAATTTTGTGTAAACGCAACTCGGTTGCCGTCACATCTTAGGCCTACTTGTGATTCACATCACGAACTCCGTATTCATTACGCAAAATCTCAAAGGACGCGAAAATAAGATTCTCCCGTAACACAAAAAGATTACGGTCGAGTCAATTTTTCGGGTTTGAAAGAAACTATAAGTTAAAGAAGTTTGAACGTAGGTTGATAATGAAGTAAAACAGTAAAAATGTTTTCTTAAATAGCTACGGATTTTACCGCTTAGATTAATTTATTTCCTTAAATATTTCCTTTAGTAAGCAGCAATTATTTTAGTAAGCAGGTTATCCTTAACATATTGTCACTTAAATAATGCTTTATTGGCACTGGAATTCTTCACGTCTTGTTCTCGTCGTTACTCGTATACCGAGAAGATAAATGGTGAATTATATGTTGGTAGAATATACTTTTATATCATGTATATAATTTTTTTCTTAGAGTATTCAAATGTTCCGATATCTCGGTCATACTGTTGAATGTTTTTAATTATCAACATCAAAAGAATGACTCTAAAAATGTATTTTTTGAATAAAAACCCAATGCCCCAATAGAAGTGAAGATACTTTCTTTAAAGACTAGCGACCCGGTTTCGAGATACAACAATAGCGGTTTTTCAGCATCCAGTGGGAACGACTACAAAAAATATTTAATATTCCTAAAACGGTTGGCCTTTGTCTCATATTCCATAATGGCGAACGTTTCGAAAACATTAGGGATATTAGAATAAGCTAATTATCAATAATATCGCAGGCTATATTAGACTAAGAGGTGATAATTATGATCTGGATTCGCTGTGTCGAAGTGTCGATTACTGGAATTTTTATGGGGATTTGTCCATTTGTGAATGAATGAATGAATATACTTTATTGCACACAATACAAAAATCAAAAACTTTATGCAGAAATGATGGGTACTTGAAAATTGATTGATGGATTGATGGATCCTTGAAAATAGTTAATGACTGAACACGCCTTACTTCTAGAGGTAAATAATTCCAGAGTCGCGCACCCTGCAGCATAAGCGAATAATTGTCGTGATCGAATTAGTTTCAAATTATTATTTTTTTCAAGTTACAAATCTATCTTTTCCGAAACTTAAAGTTGCTACTTAAAACACTTTTAAAGTTATCAAGCATAGCCCAAGTAATCGGAGATAAGCTAACAAAATAAGTAATTACAAAAACCCTGAAGGATTCCCTCTCAAAGGAAACGAGATGAATGGACTGGTTAAGCAAATTAACATAACAATCAAAAGATAACAAAGTCATAATGAATTTCGCAGGCAGCAATGTAAAATGATCGTTTGCAGGGGATTTGTGGACAAATTAATTTCCTCGTCATTTGAATGACGTTAAGGGAATTAACAAATATAGCAATGTAAAAGCAGATTTGAGATGCATTTTTTTCACACATTTATTCATGCATAATGTTTCATATTGGATGCAGACATTGCACTATAAAAATATATTATAAGATTTTAAATTTCAAATAGCAATGGCGACATGTATGTGAATTACGAGCGAATATTTATGTGCTGCAAAGGACATAAAAATAGATGCGCCAAGCATTGTTTAAAATGTGGGAAAAAAAAATAAAAAATATCATTGAGATTTTCGTCAGAGTGGCTGTTAGCCGTTCAGCTTAGTGGTTAAAGCATCTGGGCGTGATGTTAAAGCGTCCGGAAGACATGGATTCAATTTCCGCGGCGGCGAAAAGCTTTTCTTCAATTTAAAAAATAAAAATTGATATTATACTCGTGGTTAGTGAAGGGAGTCAGAAGTGTTTCATAACCACAAAGCGACTGTTAAAGTAACACCAAACGGGTTATTTAGAAACAAAGAAATGTTTTTGATGAGGTGGTAGCAAGCGAGATTACGGTTCACCTGATGTTAAGTGATAACCACCGCCCTTTGACATTCACCAGTCCCGTAGTTTTGCAGATGCGTTGCCACCTTAAAATAAAGTGGTTCCCGGCTACCTCGCTCACCAGACGAAACGCACAAGTATCACTTCACGCCGATCTTCTGTGAGGTCGTGGTACTTACCCGGACGGACCAGCCCGAGCTGTTGGGTGGCCCTACCATAGTGTAAGTAATACCATACGAGTTATTTAAGAACAAAAGAAAATTTCTCAAATGAAAAAACATCTGACAAAAATGTTATTTGTAACACGATTCAAATTTGTCTAACAATGTACCTACCCTTCACATTGTGACTAGCGTTTTTGTTTGTTCCATAATCGTACTCAATGTGGGACTCAAAAACATAAATCTTTAAGAAAACTTAATGATTCATCGACCTCCCAATTTGACCTGAACTTTTCCTTAAGACGTTCCTTAGATTTGAGATGAAGAAACATTAATATTATGCAACCAATAAACGCGACTGTTTGTGTAATAATGAAGCAAATATCCTTCAGCTTTTACGTTTTAACGGGACCGTAAATTTCCTCTCCGCTTGAATATTACAGAAGGGATGTCAACATAAGAAATTCCCTGAATACTAACGTCGTGCCGTAAATAATTTTCACAAAATTACGCAACGCTCCGGAGATTTTACTATAAACGTATTTGTCAAAAGCATTCCGCGTGCGCTGGTTAGGAAGTGTACAAGGCATTGTTTCGACGTTCCTATTAAAATTCTCCAAAGGCAGAATGAAAAAACAAACAGTCATTTGTTTTTCTGTATTCGTTTTTGTGAATAGTCCGATTAGCTAGATACTTTCCCAATCAAGTTATTTTTTTAGGGTTCCGTACCCAAAGGATTAAACGTAGTAATAAGACTCCACTGTCTGTCTGTCTGCCTGTCTGTCTATCCGTCTGTCACCAGGCTGGATCTCAAGAACCGTGATAGTTAGGCAGTCGAAATTTTCACAGATTATATATTCCTATTGCCGCTATAACAACAAATACTAAATAACGGTTTAAGTGGCTCCCATACAACACACATGATATTTTTGGCCTTTTTTGTAGATATTGTACGGAACCTTCGTGCGCGTGTGCGACTCGCACTTGGCCAGTTTTTATTTGTTCCTGTGATGTACGAAGCTGGCGCGAGGCCTGCTTTTTATTTTTAAACGAGTATCGAGGCAGCCCCCATGCCTCGGACGTAATCTCGACCAGCAAAGGCTGGTCGGTGGTGAAGATGGCCAACGACCATCCTTAACTCTGACCGCGGTTCCGGCACTAGCGGGTGTACAGCGTTACGCGCGGTGTGTAACGCGTGGACGACATCGTCTTCTCAGCGGCGGCAGTGCGGTCGGGTCCGGCTCCCCAGTAACCTCCGACCGCAGTAGCTCTCGTGGGAGCGGGCGCCCGTCAGGATATTTGTTCCCAAATGTCCCGTTTGATTATCCAACTCACATTTATCATCCTCGACTCTGTGCTTGACTTCTCTCTTATTTATAAACGTACTAGTAATCATTTTCAATCGTTAAGATAACTATAAACATATCAGAGGACCCTCTGATATGTTTATAGTTAGTTCATACAAACGGGAGGGTCTCCCGTTTGTATGAACAGGATTTGCCCATATAAACGTAAACATTTGTATATTGTTTTTTTATTGATTGACTTGTTTATTAACGAATTTTACAGTTTTTATAGTGCGACATCTCTCGTTCGAATTATCGTTGTGAAACGATATTCGAAATTGTTTGTATGCTGGGAAGGATATAACATATAGATGCGCCAAGCATTGTTTCAAATGCTAAATAACAATGTAGAAAGAAGGCGTTAAGATTTTCGTCGCTGTAGCTATCAGCCGTTTAGCTCAGTGGCTAGAGCGTCAGGCCGCGAATGCCGAAGACGTGGGTTGGATTCCCACAGCGTCGACAATCTTTTCGTACTTTTCTACATGTTTTAATTGTTTATTAACGAGTTAGTTAACGAGTAATAAAATTTAATTGGTACCTACCATTAGTATGACGACGTATATAAAACAGTAACGCAAGTAGTTATCACAAATCTCACAGGTACTTCAAGAAAAGCCATATATAATTCCTCACGTCAATATATTAACATCAAGGCTAAATAAATCCTAGTATAGTATGTATCTATTTCAGTAAATCGTACTATGCAGTTAAAGCCACGTTTCCTTTAGATATGTAATCGTAGTTAGGTACGAAATAAAGGTGTAGTAACATATTTTGCTAACCCTTTTTAGGGCGCGGATCACTTCTGTCTGATGACTCCGTGGCGTAGTTGCCAAGGTATTGGCTTCGGCGTCGAGGGTCGTGGGTTCGATTCCCACACGGGACAACTATTTGTGTGACCCACAGAGAGTTGTTTCGCATCTGGGTGTTTGTCCGCGTGGAATTTATGTTTGTAAAACGTCCTTACAATACAGGATAATGTAATCCTAAAGTAAGGGCAATGTTTATAAAATATAAAAGAATAAAAAAAAAATGTTTAAGTCTTCAAGCACTATTGTAAATTAGTAAATTTTCTAAATGTTTCGGCGCTGCGGGATTCTAGTTTGCATCTCTATAAAAAACAAAGCAGCGAAATTTTTCTCCAAAAAAAAAAAAAAAGCACTAAAAATAAAAGTAACCATAAATTGCAAGTTTACCACGATGAGTGCTTTCACAGTACGCATAACCCTTCCATAAAAACACTCCTTGCTGTAAAAAACGATTTTAATGTATAAATACATCGTAAACTCGCATATGTTATGGCTGGAGGCCTTCGTACGTGTTTCAGTGGTGCGTCCAAAAACGCAACAGCCGTAATAAAGCTGAATCATACCGAAGAGCGGGGTTTTATGGAGGTCTAACATGCAATACAGTGATCATACAGCCTGTGTGTTTTATAAACAAGTAAGGATTTATTGATTCGATATTACGTTAACTGATATACACGGATTCATTACGATGTAAGCCTGGGTGTGTTCGTGAATATTAAGTGACAACCGCAGCCCATACATTTGCAACACCCTTAGGGTTGCAGATGCGTTGCCTTTTAATAGAGTGAAAGTGTGCCCCGGCTAGCCAGCTCACCAGACGGAACGCAGAAGTATGACACTTTCACTTCATGCCGATCTTCTGTGAGGCCTTGGTACTTACCCGGGCGGACCTGCCCATTCGTGCAAAAGACTGTTGCGTGGCCCTACCACAGTTAGGGGCATTAAGAGTGAAGAAAATATGGCTGTGTGAAAAGAAAGAAGTTCAAGGTTGACACGCAGCAATGTCTCTTATGGCAAGGCTGGGGACTCGACGAAGGAAAAACTGCGTTCACAAAAAGACCAACGTAAATGATGTACTTATATCAAAGAAGTAACCGGTGATAAGGTTTGAAACGCACCAGCAAACCAATGTTTTACCAATATCGATACGCGAATATTTAACCATATTACTATTAGAACTGTTTGCACATTTGTCATCTTCGTTTTTGAATTAAAAACGATAAAGAAGGCAGAAAATTGTTGAAGTGGTCGATGGAAATCAGTGGATGAATAATGTGTTGTAATACAAAATATAACATTTAAATTACTACAAACGATTAGGTAAACTTGAACGTTTCGCGCCGAGGAGCAAAGTCCACGCCGAAGGTATTCTTAATGCTAAAAGTTTTTTTACTCATAAATTTCAAATGACATTTTCTGAAGTTTCTCATACTATATATTTTTTGTCTTTACGCAATCAACTTTGATGAATGAGCAGATAATATATTTGAATTCATTTATTCGTTGTGTTTCGTCGCTATCTGTTGTCGCACGGTATACTAATAATAATATTATTAGTAAAATAACTATTCAGAAACTCATAGTCGTAGAATGGTTGTTTTTCATGAAACATACTCCCCTTATCCCTGGCCTAAAATTGAGCAACTTAAGGTACTAAAAGGAGTTAAAAGTCTAGAATCTATAACGTTTTCAATATGTGGTTACACTTTAAAATTATTCCAATATATGTTTACACTTTTGCGTCAGACAAAACAAATATGATTTTTAAACATAATCTGTATGCGTACTTGATTTCAGACCTGATCAACGCACTAGCACAAAACTTTCAGCATTAAATTGCTTACTTAGGTTTCATTTAGAATTTAAATCACCTTACAAGTCAAGTAACATGTATATTTTTTTAAAATATATAATTTCTCTTCTAATTTCATATACCGGAATTTACTTATGCACTTAAACACACCATGAGAGGCTGCAATTTAGATGTAAAACAGTAAGCATTCGTATGTATAACAAATTTTTATCATCATGCATGTTGCAAGAAAGTTCTTAACAAAGTACGGAGTTAGGTTCAAACACTCACCCAATATTCCCAATCTGTAGTTGATCGTCACCACGACCAAGCCGGCGTGAGATGCCAGCACCGCGCCATCATAAGGGTTGCCAGAGCTCCACTCGTAGCTCTCTCCGTGTACGAACACCAGTACTGGATACCTCGAAACGGCGTCTCTCAAACCTGCTGCGAGAACAAAGGAATCAGTTTGTACGTGAGCCAATTTGCAGCAGTACCCAAAATCGTTTATAATGTGAAAATGTTAAATTAAATTCTTTACGTAAGCCAATAGTCATTTTGCAAATATGTGATCTTGTCAGTTTGCAAATATGCAAATGATCTGCAACGGAAACCATTACAAATATGAAATTGTTGAATTATTCTTGTTTATAAAAATTTTATCTTACTTTTGATACATGTCTTTCACTTTCAAATAGTTGCGTTTGAAATTAAATTAGAATTCCCGGGACCTACCCTCATTGCTGGCAACACCACGGATGTTGTCCACATGTTGTGGATAATCAAGGATGGACTCTCTCTTTTGTCACATAAGAAATGTTAAACATTATTCACTCTCGTGATTTTCAACTCTAAATGGGGCAAACTGACAATAAATAATTATATTTAGTTATCCACCTTTCACCACTCCGTACAATCTCAAAGGAAATGGGCTCAAAAGCTAAAATGTCAAGCTGTGGCTCTCTCGTGTTCAAAATTTAAAGAGAATATGTTCTTGAATATAGGACACTCACAAAACTCACAAGCCCCGCTCACACATTCCAATTTCTTAAAAGAAACAAAAAAGCCCGCATCCCCTATCAGCGCGGATTGGCAGTCTGTGGGCCTTATCGTCGCCCTGATGGATCTAACAAAAGGACGGATTCGGGATTTGTTCGTTCATCCCGTTTTCCTCTATTCTGAAAAATGGAATGGAGGTGAATTCTACCTTACGAGAACTGTTGAGGTTTGAAACGTGTGAATGTTTTTTATTCCTCACTTTTATTTCTTTATCTTTATCTGACCTCACTACCAGTGACATCGACCACAGTCAGTATTTATTATGTACTAGAGATGACTGAAATAAAAACAAACTTTACTAAATTTTAAAGTTTTTTTATAGTGCTAATCTCTGCCCTTAACATTGAAAATTAAAACATGTAGAAAAAGTACGAAAAGATTGTCGCCGCTGTGGGAATCGAACCCACGTCTTCGGCAGTCGCCTTTACAATATATTAAAAGGAGAGTTTTATTTACAGGGAAACAGTTACAAGGTCGTTAAAACAATATAAAATCTCGGCTGATCTCAAATGGATCACATTGACATGTTCATATACTGCAGGACGAATGGGATAACGACAAAAGACATAAATTACATTGCCAAATATGCTACTCACGTTTCTACTACGGCAGGAGGCAACAAAAATGCATTAAGCAATACATGAACAGAGAATAATGCTTCTCAGAGACCTATAAATCCTGATTAACAGCGGCGAGGCAGTAGTGAAACACCAGTCATGCCTACAATGGTTCGCTCAATGGCCAGTAAAAGGATTGTACATCTGAACTGGCTTATTGGCTTAACCCCGTTCCCAACCGAAGGTCAGCTCGACCGGGTTTGCGGTTTTGTTTCGTTAAAGCGCACTTTGTTACCGATCTTGTTCATTAACTCTTTGAGCGTCGCAACTATTTGTTTGAGCTAACATTTAAGAAGGATAAGTTACAAACGTCCAATTGCTTGAATTGATAACTTGTGATCCATATGTTTGTTTTCTTTTTTTAAATTTTGAACTGGCCAGCACTTGACTGCCATCCCAACTGATGGTAAGTCGCGATGCAGTCTTTGATGGTAAGCGCGCTAGCTCAGTAAAAACCGATTCACTCTTGCCTTGAAGACGCCTACGTTGTAATCGGACGGTAGTTTTTGTTGGTGTACCCAATGAAATAATTACCGATAGGGATTTAGTTTCCCCACAATGATGGCATCGCAAGCCTAACAATCATGTGTGGTGGTCTTCTGTGGAAGGGCCATGCAGCAGGCTTCGCTGTTGCACGAATGGGCAGGTCCATCCGGGGAAGTACCACGACCCCACAGAAGACAGACGTGAAGTAGAAGTGTTACACAAAGTGATGTATTATTACACAACACAATGTAATGTCAAAGCAGTTTAAATTTTAGAATGGTAATGAATTTACTTTTGAAGGATTTTACAATGTCGAAATCAATCTCGAGTGAGATACGAAACACTCCGAATTAAACGTAAATGACTTATTGATCGCTCGCTATCTATGAAGGGGTCGTGGGTTTGATTCCCACACGGGACAACTATTTGTGTGACCCACAGATAGTTGTTTCGCATCTGGGTGTTTATCCATGTGAAATTTATGTATGTAAAACGTCCTTGCAACACAGGATAATGTTATCCTAAAGTGAGGGCAATGTTTTTTTTTTTAAAAATTATGATTCATGATCTGTATTTTGCAAAAACATGACACGAGGTGACGTACCTTCTAATACACTTTGGATCCGTCAAAATGTTATTTGACGAAGTATATTATTAATATGACAAACTAATATTTTAACGCTACAGCAATAATTTTGTCTACTAATGTCAGAGCCAAAACTATTCAATTTAAAATTGTTTCAAACAATGACAAATGTACTGAGAGTACAGCATTCGTATCTTTGTTCTTGATAATTTAATGCAACATACTTAATAATTAGAAAGTTAAAAATAGATCATTTTCAAAGACAAAGAAGTATCTCGTTAATCTCAACTCATGATGTGATTAATATCGCGTTTAAAACATTTGTTGTTACAAGTTTTTCAAGAAATTATATCCTCAATCATTTGGCAGACACCTGTTTCAAGTCCTTTATAGACGACTTCCTACTGTGGTAGGGCCACGCAACAGCGATCACTGTTGCACGAATGGGCAGGTCCATCCGGGTAAGTACCACGACCTCACAGAAAACTTGCGTAAAATAGAAGTGTTACACTTCTGCGTTTCGTCTGGTGAGTGAGGTAGCCGGGGGCCCACTTTACTACACGGTGGCAACGCATTTGCAACCCTACGGGTGTTGCAACTGTTCATAGGCGGCGGTTATCACTTAACAATAGGTGAACCGCCAGCTTCTTTGCCACTCTCTCACATAAAAAAGACTGAAAGTATATATACGGGTGCTTACCTCACGAAAAGCACTCTACTTAAAAATGCTAATTGCGCTGGTAAGGGCTATCAAAAAACCCACCTTTTTGGCACAACGAGTCTTCCAAAATTACACCGAAAAGAACGACGTGCCTGCATGGTGTAAACTACAAGCAAAAAGCGATTTTCAAAAGAAAGTATAAATCTCCCGCTATAAACGTGCTGAAGTAACCTACCTAAACACTATTAAGTAAAAATGCTCGTCATGCCTGTAGCGGTTTACTGAATTTGGCATGTGGTATTTGCAAACGTGACCAGATTCCCACTTGCGCCATCGCCAAGGGCTGTCGTATTATGACGCGAGCCTACGCGTGCTAACGACAAAAGGTGGAGCAGGTAAAACCGCGCAGCCGTGGAAAAATCCATTCGTCGGATGCCAGTGACGGGTGAGGCTGTCACCCCTTTTGGGGCGCGGTGCGTGTTCACTTTCGTTAGTTATATAAGCGATTGTATTCTACCCTGACGCTTTTATTTAAATTTAAATACAGTTTTAGAATATAATTCTTCCGTGATAATAAACAAATTGACATGAGATGTTATAGATTAACTGATGTCTAACAAGCGTTGGAATAAATTACAGTCGTTATTTCGAGATTTGATAAGCTTTTTAGGGCTTAATTTGAGCCAAAGGCGAGATACAACTCGGGATATGTGAATACGTGATAAAAAATCAAAATCTTTGATCTTATACTTGCCAACAAGTTTATAATAAAAGGTCAAAATTTAATATAACAGAAAAAATTTGGCTGTTTAAATTAATGTCAGAAATTACTTTTTCACTATTTATTTCGTGTGGACAGTTATTATTGGACCGAATGGGCATTTCTGTTATAGGGTTAACAAGTTATGCGCGCATAAAACCTGTAAACGGTAAACTCATTCGCGCTGAAATAAAATCCATCGGGTATTAAAATACGTCCACACACGAGACAACGATCCAGGCATTGTCGGTAAATTTATAATTAATCGTAATTCTAAAGGTACAAATTGTGTCGACATCACTCAGGGGCCATCCAATTAGCGACTTTCGTAATATATACGACGGGAATACATCCACTTTATTTCTAACTCCGTTTAGGGCGGGCTCCCATTTACTTCCCCCACCACCGGACCGGGTTTCGCTTCAGTGAAATAAACGTGATTTTTCTCCGCGAGAACAAAGCTCTTTTGAAAATTACGCCCCCGTTCAAACGCTCGGCCCTTTTGAAATTTTAAATCGGGTTTCACGTAAGCCGCATGAAAAGCGGCAACGTTTCAACGCGAGCAATGAATTGACAGCATTCTTACGTCAAAATGGCTATCTCTCATTTCTAAGTACAATTATTATTTATATTGTAGTGATATTGCATGATAGAACTCGCAACGAAGGCAACACTGGAACAAAGGTTACCGACATAGTACAGGTTAGCAAGGTGAAAAGGCGATGGTGATCAGCAGTGAAACAGGGTGAAATGATGATAATGATAATGAATGTTTCCTGTTTAATAATGATTACAACTCCCTACATCAGCTTGATCTGCATTAATTTCGCGTCACTTCATAATCCACTAAAACACATAATGAGAGTCGAGAACAAATAATATCTTGATCGTGACCGAGAATGAATTTAAACATTGACCATTTTTTTTTCTGTGGGCTGGCAATTTGGCTCTCGAATGGCAGCAATTTCTTTGTATATTTGCAACCCCTTTGACAAAAAATAGTATCTATTCACTGAATTGGTGGTTAAGTTAAAAATCCAAAGCTCGGACCGAAAAAAACATTGCTCTCCCGTCGAAATGAATAAAATTATAGTATTTTCGTTACGATATATTTTTAAAGTCTTATACGTAATGCTGTCAACGAAATACATAACAAGCATAATGTAAGGCATAGCGTGATGTTAAATTGTCTATAACCTTTCCAAAAATTGTGCTACAAGATGCAAAAAAAATGCTGAAGGATGTTTTCATAATTATAGTTTCTAGTACATGTTACAGATTTAAATCAGCGTAGATCGATTCACGATAATTGTGTTTGCACGTTTAGACGAGACCGATAAGCGATACACTAAACTGCGATTACCTTGGGCGGGCGCGTAAATGTTCAGGTACAAGCAGTCCTCCGACTGGTTGGTGAGGAAGGGCAGTATCCTCTTCAAGTACTCCAGCCTGCCCCTTGATATCCTCTTCAGGACGGCCGTCTCGTTCCTTATGTCGGGGAGCACTTGGGGGCACACCGGGCCGAATTCCTCGGCTATCTTCACTCCAGACCACTGGGCCCCGGACACCGGAGGCATGAACCTCAAGGAGCCCACGGGTGGTGACGCATACGGTACCCCTCTGAACACCTCGACAGGCTCGAGGTACCGCGACTCCGGCGTCATTATGAAGCCCCTTATGTCACCGTACTTAGTCCTCACCACCCTTGAGCTGATCAGCGGCTGTCCCTTGTCCTCCAGGGAGTCACCCCTCACCGGTCTCCACGTAAGCACTGGCAGTGTAACAAAGTGCACGATCACTAGTATTAGCATCTTCCCGCTTCCAACGCCACCGCCTTAGGAACAGCGCGCGGTAGCTGCGTGCTATAAGTCGACCATTTCGCTTGTGCACCCACCGCCGCATTTATCGCGTTTTCTGGAACAAACGCTTGAGATTAATATTGGTTTGGTACGTTTCTACTGTTGTTTAAGTGTTGCCTGGGTACTTTCTTTAGCACTCATCTGGAGTGGAAGACAATGATATGTGTAAGGGTTTTTCACTATTCTCGTTCCTGAGATGTCTAACATTACACTTATACACCACCGTACGTTATAAGTGTAACTATGTACTGAAATGTTTAAAATACAAAGAAATACATTGTGCGCATTATTATTCAAGTTCGAAATACCTTTCGAACTTCATTCGCCTTAACAATGAATACTAAAAAACCTATCAATATATTATCTTAGAGATATATAATCAGATGTATGAAACATTGAAATACTTTATAAAAAGTATGTGGATTACAAGACAACCTTGAGTTACATAACTCAACGCGATTTACATAATCCAGCAACGGCGTAACGCTTTCAAAGTTGCAGAGAAGTAGGCAAGACTAGGGATTACTTATCGAGAAGTGAAGTTATTGTGTGCAATAAATTTTGCCCGAGATAAAAGTAGAATGAGCGCGAGAGTCGTAAAATGAAATCGTCGTAAAGGAATTATTGTTTGGATGCGGGCATCCGACAAAAGATAAGCTCATGTGACAATTTAAGAAATACCACACAATGCCACGAGTTTACTTTTATACCCTCCTGGGGTCTTAAAGCTTATTTAAACTATGACGTTGCCTGACTGGTACATGTTGTTGAAAACAAAATAGACACTCAATATTTCACCTTATTCTTGTAATAATACTTGAGACATAAAACCAAAAGATTTTATGACGTTCGAAATCATAATCAGCCGCCCAAACAATGACAGTCATTGATACTGTAAACAAATACGAAGCAGGTATGACGTTAGCGCACCGAAACTGAGGCACTCAAATTACGCCATTTGGTGTAATTAGATTTTAATTCTAAAGACTCCTTACTCTAACCGTGTCATGCGTTCTATATCATCTATCACATTCACTACATATGTCATATAATGTAAAGCGGAACAATTTTTAAGTGCCACGCAGTATAGACATGCATCATTTGATGACAGTACTCAATTTCACTCAATAATATATCATGGCAATTTCTTCAGTAAACTATGCAAACCGTAGCTCAGCGCTAGGTTAGAATAAAATAAAAGTCGTTACAGCCGATTATACGTAAAGTAATTTTTTTTCCACGATGATACATCAGCCCATGTCACTGTCTATTCTCATTTCAATGACGTATTCTATTCGTGGGGTAATTTCGAACTTTAGAAATAAAAACAAGCGAAACAAAGACATCAACGGCAGCATTGAAAAACCGAAAAAAAAAAACCAGATACGCGTTGTTATAATTAGAACGTCGATCGATTGATCCGCCGCAGTGTGTTGCGAGATAGATTTTTGCTCATAACGCAAGTGCAAATATCTTGCTATTGTTCCAGTTTCGATATTGCATCAGAATCTATTGCTGATTTTACGTGGTCAGATAGTCGAGCGGGATGAAAATAGCTTTTCTTTCTTGTCATTCGGCTTATAAGCTATCTGCATTCTAAATTTACTTTTACATATAATGTTTGAGTAAACAACGAACAAATTATGCACGCGAAAGTTTATGCTTGTTTCTTGTATTAACTGATGTTTTTTCTTTCAGTCCCGAGACTATTAAAGCTTCATCTGACGCAGAACCGGTAGGCTAGCCAGATCCCACGGGTTTGGGTGAGTAAAGTTTATGCTAAATTCACACGTGAACTTCCTTATGATATGCAGGCACAAACTTTATAAACTACATAAATAATTACAAACGTAGTTTCGTATATCAAATGTTTGGTAACACGCCTGTATAGCCCAAGTACTGTAGGTTAGCTTGATAATTAATGATTCTGTCGAGTTTTAATATTGCAGAGTTTGGATAACTGAATACTTAGCGAATACTTTACGCCACTTGCCTGTCTTAATACATTCCACTATTAACTCAATTCATTCGAATGATATCACCATTACTTCAGATCTATCAGATTATTCAATTTTAAGATCTTACAAGGCCATATCTTCAAGATCTTATAAGGAACCAGTTATTCATACATCAGTTAAAGTAAAATAAATTAACAGCCTATAAATGTCCCAATTCTGGCTAAAGGCCTGCTCTGTAAAGAGGGCATCAGGGCATATTCCACCACGCGACCCCACTGCAGGTTGGCGGGCGGACTTCACATATTATCAATTTTTTTTTTTGTTATTATTTCGAAAATGAGCCGGTTTCCCCACGATTTATTCCTTCACCGCCGAGCACCTAATAAGTCAGCACTCAAAATTAACAATAACAATAAATTTGGTTCCGGCACCGCGGATCGAACTGAGGTTCTCGGGTAAATTGAATTAAAGACGAGTATTTCATTTACACCTTGGACTTCCATACATGAGGGGTTTTTGCCATAGTTGCCACGCTTGGCGAGCGGGTTGGCAACCGCAGTTCTTCCAGACACCTCGCACCTTCAACGCTGCTGCCCGTTATTGGCCTGGATATTTGGGTCTGGAGAGTGACGACCTGTGCAAATGTGCGGGAAGTCGATGGATGCAGGTGGCTCAGGATCGTACTTCGTGGCAGTCTGTGGGGGAGGCCTATGTTCAGCAGTGGACTCAAACAGGCTGAAATGATGATGATGATGATGATTTCATTTACGGAAAATATTACAGGGATAGTATAATATATTATTAATTGCCTTATAATTATTTAATAATAATATATTATTAATCGCCCTTTGAATAACGTAACAACAAGCGTCATCTGTGACTTATAGGCGTTGATGTCGATATTTTAAGTGGGAATTCTAATGAGATGCATTCAATTAACCCTCCTGTACGTTTAGAGATGGCTGGGCGAATAACTGCAGGCTTATGGGGCATTCAGCGTAGTCGCGTCGTAGAAGACAGCGGCGCCGCAGGGTAATGAGGCTAGTACGAGAAGTCTAGGCATTAATTCACAGAGCTCGACTCTAGCCGGCAGGCAAATTGAAATACCGCCCGTTTTACAGGGCCTAGCGTAATGCCTGATGCCTCCCCACTATTTATTGCAGCATTTATCCACCACACTTTGGTGCTTTAAAATGTATCGTTTCGTCGTCTAATGACAAGACAAGAAAATATCAGATTACTAGCACTATACGCTAATAGTCCGACATTTTATTAGCAACCTAAATAACGTTGATGTAAAATAGGATTGATATATTTTTCATACAGAAATAAAAAGGTCCTTAATGCTAAGTTTATTTGAAGAAACGTTGATAATTTGGCTGTTTCTTTACCGGCGAGGTTATAAATCTATATACAAACGAAGCTAAATGGGCCAAGGAATAATCCCTGTGAAATGCCGATGTCGCTGACCCAGAAAGCCGATTATAAATTATCTAACTTTCTCTACTTCATTTCTAAAAGTAATAAAAGTATAGCCTAAGCGAACTATTTTTTACGAAGATTTGACATAATAAATTTATTAATTATGTTATAAACATACTAAACGTGAACCTTTCGCATGTAGCAAATAACGAACAGTTTTCTTAAATTTTTCCTTGAATTTCAAATAATTTTGGTCTATTTTCACTCTCTAATTGTTGATTTAATAAATAAACATACTGTTTTTTTTATATTCGCTTATTCTTAATCAGCTTAAACGAATATACCATAACAGAAAAGTTTGATTATAATGGTACCACATGAATAAAAATTTCTTCACAAAACTATAAGGAAATTTTTTGTAAAAGAAATGTGCACAAAATTGTATGCTATCATTTTATGCCAGGAATATTATATGTATAAACAATTGTACATTTACATTTCCATGTAACAGGGTTGTTATGAGCGCTATTAAAAATGGTAGGTCTACTAAATAATTGACTTCAGTTTGTGTTGGTAGTTTCAAATAAATCACTAACAAAATTACAATTTTCGATATTATAAAGCATAATCATTTTTCGTAAGTATGTACTTAAATAATTAATACACACTCATCTCTAGTAGGGAAATTATTTAGTTATAACGTTAATGCTATCATCCCGGTTTAAGTTTATCCAGCGTTCTACATTCCAAAGCTTGTAAACTGTTTACGTCTTGGTCGATACCACCTTGTCACGTAAGACCTAATAGTACTGCTGTTTGTTAAGGGTAGTGTTTGTATGATGTGAAACTTTGTTTTTGTTCGTGTGTTTTTTATGTTGTAAAATGTTCCCAATTAAAACAATCTGATGATCATAAAAAGTTTAACGTATCCCAAATTGTAACGAATGACGAGACTGCGTAAATATTACGAATGTAGGTTGAATATGTTCCCATATTCGAGTAATTCCCGAGGAACATAAAAATACATACACAGTGATTGGAAACCTCTTTCCTTTAAGAAGTCATAAAAAGACCAATTTCTATAAGCAATAAAGCGGCCGCCTCAAAAGTTTGATGAATGCCAAAGCCATTTCTATAACACAAAGCAATTTGGGAAATATATTGGATCTGATCCGGCGTAAATGTAATTGCTGTTTTATTATTAGATTTCCTTACCTGGCTGGGGCATTGAAAGGGCAGTGGTATTCGTTGTAATGTTTGACTAGAAACTATCATCAAATTACCACACCCAATAAGAACGTAATTTCTTTACGTTCGTGTATATTTGAAGGAATTGATACTTAAAGCAAGGCAACAGTAGTAAGGGACATCGCTATTTTAACTGCATGTCATCTATTGCGTATGATTATGTGAGTCAAGAAAAGTGAGATTACTCTTTGAGGATCACTAGAATTATTTCAAGGATTTCAACAATTTTCAATATATAAGTGTGATAAAATAATTAAGTGTATAAACATCATCATAATTATTACAGCCTGTTTGATTTCTTTGCTGAGCATAGGCTCCCACACA